GTTGACGTTTAATTGTCAAGTTGACGTTTAACAGTCAAATAATACTTTTTTTTAATTATAACTTTTGCGATGTTATTTAATACAACATTTAAAGAATGCTAAGAGTTCTAGTTTCAGTTGTATTCAGCATTAGTTTGTCGTATATTTGTATTGAACTAAAACTAGAACTAACACTAGACCTAGAACTTTTTAGTTTAGCCGCACGTCTCTTAATACTGTCTGATACTGTCAGACCCCTTCATTATTCATGACCATTACGACCCACAGAATATAACGCCGGGCCTGTTCTTATTTACAACTTTTATTTGCAAAGAAAAGGCAGTTGCAAACGTAATCTGATTCTATTTTGTGTCAACATACTCAGCAAATAACCTTGAAGTTACACAAAACTGTCTTGTAAGGTTTAAATCAAGAATGTAAGATTTGTTGCAACAAAAACTGAAATAATATTTACGATTCGGTTTAACGATTACCTCAGTATATTGAAACATCTGTTCAGATAGATGATACTTACAATTGTTGATAAACACGGTCGGTATAAAAGTAATATATTAAAGATTGTTATGTTTATTTTTTGGGAGCTTCTAGAATGTCAACATGTTGAATATTAATACTATTTGTTTATGTAAACATAAAACTTTTATCTGTTATTTTGCAGGTGTTGTAAATTAATTAATGCGATAAAAATTTTACTCACCTGACATATAATGTAGGAGAATCGCACATATTGGATAAATACTAGGACTATAAACAATATCCGGACAAGCATAACCCAGTACGGAAACTACCCTATCAGCAACAATCCTCCCCCGATGCGTTAAATGATACGATTGACAATGCGTCGGTTCAACAAACGGCGGTAAACTAATATTTTTATCCGGAAGTTCGGCACTTCCAAAAACCTGCTTAACCATATCCCAATAAAACCCATCCATCGTAGTATCAATCGATTTCCCCACATTGTGTTGGGCGCAAAGTAACGGCCACAATTTCGTTCTAATCGGACAATCAACCGGCCAATAATTGTTTCGAATGGTGTGTTTTGCATCTTGTTTCCGGCCCTGCTGAAGTAATTGTTGAACGTCGTTGAACGTTTTTAGAGGTTTTGAGGTGGGACATTGCGGTTGCGGCACGACGATGCCGCTCGAATCTACGTACGCCGAGTACACCGTCGTGGACTCGATGTCGTCTTCAAGAACCGACGGCATGATGTTGTTTACGTCGGCTGTTGTTTGCGGTGGTGGTGTTGTTGGTGATGAAGTGGTGGTGGTTACCCCGACTGTACGGGTCCCCTTTCCAAGGAGTCGAACTATGTCAGATCCTGGAACATCTTCGGATCTAAAACAAACAAAAATAAA